CAGGCAATACCTCAAAGGTTTTGAGTACCGATACTCAGCCCAACTTATGACCTACTAAAGGTTTGTGGTGGAGTATTAATTTGCAGAGACTCTGCCCTCACAGCCTGCAGGAGAGGTCAGGACTTTATAAAAAGGTGGAGACCATATGCCAGACCATAAACAGGCCACATCCTACGAGCTACGAAAAACACGGCCAAGCAGACAAAGCTCGATCTAAAACAAGAACACACCTGGGCTTGACTTTAACTTTCGCTGACCATACTGTTTGCAAACAGTAACTGACAATTCCTGCATAGTATACCTTTCAGAAATGTAGTCTTTACATGTATTAACTTCCTTTGATCACTTTGAGCATCAGTGCAAGGCTTGTTAACTGCTTGCTAAAGGATTGCAGTGTAAAATTACAGGAGTACTACTTTCCTTCAGGTTTAATTAGACCAAAGGGTACTATGGCAGAAACTAGACACTAGCACCACAAATATCAAATTTGCTGTCGGGACTTGGATAAACCTTTCAGAATGCCACATTATGTTACATGCCAAGATGTAGATATTAGATTAGATGAATTCCAAACTTGACTCATTTTTCATGGCTAAAGCTGGAAGGCACCACCAGTTTAAGAGTTACATCCAGTTACATCCTTACGGACACTGCTGTTTCTGAAAATGTTGCCACCGATATCACCTTCAGCAACTGAGGCCCCTGCAACATTTAAACCTCTTCTCCTGTCTCCTCAATTTCCTGCTTTGTTTGTTTGTCAAAACAATGGGCTCATCCCTCCAAGAAACAATAGTGCGTAAAACATCTGAATCATGCCAATTTAAGGCAGCACGGCCAACATGTGATTGGAAGGAGCCATATGCAAACACCTGAAGTGTTAATGGAATAATAACAAGACTGGTAATGACATTGCGATATTAGAGTGACAGGCTTAATGTCTTCTTCAGTCTCATCGAGTAAGTCAATAATTGCCTCCTTTAATAGCCTATAACGGTTAATAGTTCTCTGTTGGTTAACTGAAACAATGCTAATGTCTAAATATTCTCTCCTTACCACGCCGGGAATGATGTCAGTGCCTTTGGCTCACTGCGATCATCACTACAAAAGTCATTTTATACTACATGCATCATGTCTCTTTTATACCCCTGTATCACCTAGAAAGCCAGCGTTTAATATAACTTAGCCTTGATTTTTGTGTATAGTACGCACCCTTTAAAAGACTTGTTTTGCTTTAAAAATGGGTCAATTTAGTCTTGAAATACAAACTAATTAGTTCCATTGAATATACAAGAAAGACAAGGATGCACTCTGTCAGCAAGTACTGTGCGCAGTGTTGTTGGTTTGTGAATCAGACGCTGTTTTATGTTTCGCTCTGCTGTTGGGTCCACAAAAGCATTGGAAACTTTTATTGGTTCTTCTGTCAGACTCAAAAGCTCTATAAGGGGCCCCCAGAGGCCATTCTGCTTCTATACCCATCCGAACCAAAGTGATTTGAAATGACTGACTAACTGACAGTGCCATCCTCGGAGGGTTTTACCAGTGGGCTAAAAAGCCTTCAGATATAAAAGGAAAGGGACTTACTCATATGGGCAATTATATCACTGTCTGATGTAACAGTGTGATGAACCTTACACATTTTCACAGGGTTATAGTTGCTTATTTAGCAGGTCACGGCTGATTATATAGGAAACATGCATGCACATGTGCCCAGAGACTAATGTCTGATTTCTTCATGTGGTCTTTGTGTATACATTGCAGTATTAGCAGTTCCAATTTATATGCTTGTTTTTCTGCCTCCTTGGGCTTTCATGAACTTACCAATCCTGTTACTGTATTCTTAAATTTTAATAGTTGGCTTTGGTCCCTTTTCCCTTTTAACTATGTTTTGTTGTACTAGAACGCGGGCTAGCATATTAGCCCTTTAACTAGTGAACTCTGCTGACTCCCAAAAGCTGATGTAATGAGGACTGTCAATGTTTTACACAAGATGAACTAGCCCGGCCACTACAAGAATATGACATTATAGATTTTTGCAAACCCAAATATGTCACATTTGCACATTTCATACGTATCACACCAGAATTTCTGAAATCACACAATATATAAGCTGACTTTTGTCATTGGGAGGTGGAAGATTCAGATTTAAACAACTTTATCAGTCTCACCAGGGACAATTTGTTTCACGCATACTACATAACATAACTTACATCAACATGTAGACACATGAATAGATGAGTAATGAAGAAAAAACAGAAATAAAACATTTGCCAAGCAGTTCAGTGGAGTAAAGGAATCTATTAATAATAAAAAGTTAATAGACTGATTATCAATAAAAGAAATACAATTAAAACAAAAACTAACAGAGAATTTCAAAGACAAATTGCAAAGGGAAAAATTGAATACTGGTTACTTTTTCAAGCAGGTAAAGTGTAACGATGTCTTGACGACAACAGAGAAAATTCGCCGTCAAGAACATGTCCAGAGGAAGCTAAAAAAGTTCTGGCTTTCTAGAGGATTTGTTGATTGCAAAAACCAGTCATGTACCGTTGTGTCACTCCTGTGATCTTAGAGCAGATGTTAACAATGCTGTTTAGACTGTCTTTCCATGTGAGGCCGTGAAACCAGCAAGGGATGGTGGATGGTGTGTTACCTATAGGCAAGACACCACCAAGCTGCAGACCACTGGAGACCACTTTTTGAAACCAACAAACAACAACACTGGGGTGTTTTCTGCAACCTTTTGTAGCATTCCCACTGGTATTTGTTGCACTGCAGCCAAGCTGTAAACCACTGCAGACCACTGTTCAAAACCAACAAACAACACCAGCTGTTTTTTAGGGGAGTCTTTGCAGCATTTCCGCTGAGAGTCGGTGTTCCTAGCAACACATCACAATATTTCCCAGTGGTGTTTGAGCCACTGAACTTGGGTGTTCATCACCAAGCTGGCCTTACTTTTCCAGCAGCTTCTGTGAAACCATACGTGGCTGTCTTAAGCCAAAACATTATCTTTTCCTAACCATAACCAAATTATTTTTGTGCCTAAACCTAACCACACCTTCACCACAGAGTTGTTGAGAAATGTTTCAATATATCCTCTACAATGTAATGTACAGATGTAACCTAGCATATTACAAACATGTTTTCCTGCAATTGGGTTGAATAAACAACTTTAACCTTATTTGATGATGTCCACATTTGAGCCATCCCTGCATCACAGCTGAGGATTTGTTTTGTAAGAAGGAAGAATGAGCTGTTTCTGTGATTCAAGGGTTTCCCCCGTAAGGAGACAACACTGGGCCTAGCAGAGAGGTTCACAGCGACTGGTGGTGCATGCGAGGACACTGTCGTCATGCCCACAGAGACTGTGAGTGTTTGCTGAAATGATTGTGCACCACATACAATGTTTGCTTTAAACCATGTCTGACATTGAGGGACAGGGATCATTGTGTGCACATTATTATGCTCGAAAAGAGACACCAGAGTGAGAGGTTATAAATAATGAGTGACTAAGAGGTGGGCAGTATGGATGAGCAATACCATTTATACCATCATTTTCTTTTTCATTCTTTTTTTTTTTTTTTTTTGTCTAAGCCATACTGGTCCTCTTGTTTTTTAACCCTTTGAATCCTAAGCAAATTGGCTTGACATCTTTCAAAAACATGGGAAGAGGGTAATGAGCAACAAAGGAGGAAACGGACCCAAAAATTTGCATGAAATTAGTAAAAAGAAAATTAAAAACAAGAAAATTAGAAAAAAATGAGTTAAAAACAAACAAGAAAATAACCTTGAAAAAGTTCCTAAAATTGATTTTTAAAAATTCTGGAACATAATTTTAAAATGTAATAATATTAATTATAACCCTTTTTTTCAATAGAATTTTCTGAACCTATTAATGTTTTTGCAGTTTGAGGGACATTTCTAACCTAGGTGCTCATTGCCTTTTTCTCCCATGTTTGTGAAAGAAATCGCAACAATTTGCTCATAGTTTAAAGGTTTAAAAAAATGCAAAAGGTGTCAGAAAAGCAGCACAAGAAAAGCAATGTCGCTTCTGGTTTTAAAGGGCTGAGAAACTAATACTTTGAAAGTACAAGTCAGGATTTGAGGTATCAATGCTTGTATATGCTTAAAAATAATACAGTGCAGTGCATCCACGTGCACACTTTCACCAACGATAGAAGTGCTCAAACTCACACATGTTTTTCATCCTTTCTTTTTTTTGATGCCGTTGTCAGGGACACTGAGTCTGTTCTTGGCAATAGCAATTATCATAATGACTAATGATCACCACAAAATGGTGCAAAAACTTCATTTCAGGAACACGACGGTGGCAGTTGAGTTCACTCTGCATTACTGTCTCCTTAGAGTAGCAAGATTTTCCTCAACGCTAGCACAGTAGGCGGGAGGGGAACGGAGACGAAATAATTACAACAATTACTTCTTTTACTTTATCTGTGCCTGACACACACAGCACACTTGCATATGCACGCACAGACGGAATATAATAGCTGTGGTAAGTGAAGTGCTGTCAGCACTAATGGCAGTGTTGCCAGTAAAATAAGTGCAATAAAAGCAGGGGAGATGGCATAATATATACCTGTGAAGACACTAACTAATGCTTTCACCCCAGTATGCCAAGAGCTTCACACATACTCGCACATTGCACATGCACTTGTAACATACATGACACACACGTGCAAATACACACACGGCCGAGAAGATTTGGGCTGTTGTGTCTAACAGTGAGGTTGTGTCAGTTTGTGTCGCTGCATAAACATGAGAATACATCATCGCTCCCATGTGCGTGTGACACTACAGCCACATTAAGGTCAGACATGTTGGATTGATTCTTGGGAAATCGCTCAGAGTCACACACATGCACCAACTGATGTAAAGAAACGTAGATGTGAGGCTATCACCCATACAAAGGAGTCCATGTTTAAAGATGAGACACTGAGAAACCTCATCTTAATACACACACACAAAAAAAGAGAATATCTAACCTGTTTGCTTTCGTCGTTGCCTCCTCTCAAAGAGCACTCCTGTCTCACTGTGGTCACTCTGCTGTGTGTCCTTTGTGAAAACTTTCTGGTGAGGGAAGGCAAGGTTGGAAGGTGGTTGAGTTGGTATTTTTCCTCCTCTTGTACTCGGTACAGGTCCTTGGTTGTTATGCCAAGGTAACAGGAGACAAAACTGGGTCTGGGGCTGAAATAAAGAAGAATACAAATGAAACAAGCCATTAAAGTGGAAAAAATAGAATAATTTAACATCACTGGTATGTTTTAATTTTTTTAAATCAGTCTTTTATTATTTAATTTGCATTTATTTGTCTAATTTCATGTAGAGTACTAAGCTCTACCAAGCTCAGTGAAATGATTATGTACAAGTGCTTTGTACAGACGGGACACCAGGACATCAGGCAGAATTGTTCATTGAGTCTTAAAGATTGTTTTCAGCAGCAGCAGCTCTTTTCATTCATAAATCTGATCTGATCAGCTCTGATCAGATTGACAGATCAATGATCCACCCTCTGACTCAAACTCCACAAACTGCTGCTGAGGAAAAAAAACAAAAAAAAAAACTTGTGAAGAGTTCCGCCTACGCTGCGTTCACAGACTTGCAAAAAATTTGAAATTTAGAGAGGTCACACAGAATGATACAAAGGGACACACACGCACGCACACAAGGTTTGCTGCCCAAGAGTATGTAGCTTGAGTATTGTGAGTTATTTGCAAGTGAAACAGGATATGCAGGCAGGATGTGATGTTGGCAGGAATTTGATTTTGATGGTTTAAAAATGGTTCCAAAACCAACAGGATCGCACTACTCGCCTGTGAGTGAGACAAAGTCATTGTATGCTCCATGTAGCTGCTGAAGCAGTCCACTGTAAGATGCCTTGTGTATAATCTAGAGCTGCCACAAATACCAGTTAAGTCTAGCCAGCTGCCTGTAGCCACAGTGTTTTGGGGAACTGAAAACACATGCTGACATTTGCTGTTGCTTACTAGCTTGTATCTTAGCTCAGTGTGGCTAATGGTTGCTAATTGATTGATGGGTTGATGGATGTCATGGTATTATTGGTTGGAATCCGTTGGTACTAGCTTATAAGCACAGGTCATATTTTGTTTTACAGAAAGAAAACATGATTTGAATTTGATAAGAATTCAAAGACATTGATTTTTGTTTAGCATATATTGTTGAACAGGTGCAGCATGTGATAAGGGACGTGATCTAAAGGGGTAAAAAAGGCATTTTTCCTTTCATCTCAACTTTGATTGTCGATGGTATATTTAGTGTAAAGAGAAACACCTTCTGGAAAAATATATATATTTAATGAAGACGACTACCAAAATGTGGCTGTAAATAATGCATCACTCAGCACTAAAGGATTTCAAAAGAAAATGGAAAGGCAGGGGAGTGGCAACTTGAGTTGAGACTACAGTCAGACGGGGAGAAGAAGGTGAGAAAGGAAGAGCGGAGAGAGAGAGAGAGAGAGAAGGAGAGGGGGAGACAGGGAGAGTGGCTTTTCAGAAGCATACTGATTTTTCTCTGCATCGAGACCGTAAAGAAATGCGCAATGGACCCATGGCAGGCATGAGAAATAATACGGCTGAGAGCAAAGAAGGAAGCAACAGAGGAAGAATCTATCTATCTATCTATCTATCTATCTATCTATCTATCTGTCCCATCTTCTTCTCCTACTCACTTTCTCTCACTTCATTTCAGCTGCTGCGGTTCACTTAAATTAACATTACCAGTGCAGACAAGCAGGATAACAATAATGATGACAATAATGGCTGATGATGCATCAGAAGGGTACAAGGTGACAGATGGCTGGGTCTGTAAGTGGTACTATATATAATGAGATGCTACCTATCTTCCTGTTTCGGTCGCAGAGCAGGACACCTGTCACATCACACCTCAAGCCGTCAGTACACAACACACTGCCTATCTATGAATAATTTGTGCAAATAACTGTCAGAGAAACTGACATACACAGCTCCCCTTTTTCTCTCTGCCGCTCTTTATCTGTCCCTTTCTCTCTTCCTCTCTCGCTCCCTCTCCTTCCGGCACTTTCACCCTCGCCTTGACACACACACACACACACACACACACACACACAAGCATAGACATACCCACACAGACAGCCTAAATCAGTTAGGGAGAGCCCGGCCGGCTGCCCCAAAGTGAGCTGAGCGTGACATCTCATTTTCAGCAGTAATACTGGGCTGATCCTGCTCCTCCCTTACAAGTTAAATGGAGAAGGAGCGCTGCATTACACTTGATCATGACTAGGCACTGTAAGTAGCCGTACGCATGTAACCGCATGCAAAAGGACTCACAAAAATGCATGCACGCTGAGGAAAACACACATCCTATGAGGGAAATATACAAGCGACACATAGTGCATGTTCTATATGCACCCTGCAGACACTCAAACAAACATATTGCAATGCAGGCATACAAACGCACCACGATGTCGAGCATACTACCAAAACAGATTACAAGTGTCTCCCCAGTGTGCTCACACAACAAAAAAAGTTGAAACTAAAGAAATTCCAGGATAAAAAAAGACACAGAATCAGACCTCGCCGCATGTTCCAGTGTTGTGTCTTTGCTCAGCAAAATAAACTTCACCAGAATCAAAGCACTGATTAAATTGGAGCACACTTGAGGCCTACTTGTTTGTATTTGTTTATCCCAAGACTTCATATGAATACACATTATAAAAAAAAGGATGTCATTTCATCTCATTCATCAGAAATGCTGTATAATAACACTCATAAATATTTTTTTAAGGATATGTTTTAAAAGCAGGCCAGCCCGATGTGTCCAGAACAGGGGGCAAAATAGATTTCCTAGGGAAGTTTCATCTTAAAGGACCATACTAGGCCTGTCAGTTGAGCTCCAAATAAACATTGCCCGAATGTACTGCACATTCATGCTTGAACCGTTTCCATTTTCGAAACTCCCAGAGTTTTCCTCCGGGGACTCCCTCGGGTCAAACTGTCATCCCTCCACCCAAGATGTTGAAATCTAATGGCCAGATTTACATTCAATTTGCCGGGGATATTTACGCTCCCCGGAGGATGAAGTCTAACATTTTGGGCGAACTCTTTCACCTTTAATGCCAAGGCAGCAATTTCCAGCTGTGCACATGAAATCTGTTCTGAATCCTACAAGAAATTACTGCACAAATGTATGCACTCCAGAGAATAAAACTTTTACTCTTTGATTTATGACCACATGGGCTCCCATGTAGCAACACGGTCAAGAAAAACTTCAGTTTTTAACCCTAATGATGCAGCTCCAAGAACAGCAAATATGTTGTAACAGTAACACAACAAGCTTTATATTTCTGGTCTTTATTCTATCACAGTTATGAATGTGATGGCCCCAGACTCGCACTTTATCATTATGTGTTGCTCCCTCACCAGGCAATGGCTTAGTGTGTTTTCTATCTGGTCTCAATGGCATTCTCAATAATGGATGGACACCATGTCTGGCTACTCTCTCAGCTTCCAATATGTATTTATAACAGCCAGATTCTGGAGAGGCAAAACACATCAGTGTCGAAACAGAGAACAATGCATCACACTCTGAAAACCATGCTTACCGGAGGGCAAAAAAAATCCCCACAATATGCAACCATGGACTGACAAAATGCCTGTAGCTAGCTAAGAACATTAGATTTCAGCATGTCAGAAGATTGTTTTAGCACTCTGTGTCTCCCAGAGAGGACAGAGTATCCTGACAAACAGTATTTTCAGTCTATCTCAGTGTCCCTTCTCCTTACCTCACTTATCTTAAAGAAATGATCCCACTGAATGGCAAGTGGTGAAATATTTTGATATTTATATACTATTTGATTTGATTTGAATCACCAGGTAAGATCATCATTTAACCATGTAAAGATCAAAACAAGGCCTTGCACAGTTCAATTAGCTTCAACCTCTAACGTTTGTCTGTGGCCTTAATAGCAAAAATGTTTGCTGCAAATGTAGCATTAGCAGAGGTGCGGACTCAAGTCTTAAATTTAACGACTTTAGACTCAACAAACTCAAAAAATACTTGCAACTTGAGTCGCACTTTCACACTAACGACTCGTGACTTCACACTGACTTGCACCTTTTAACTTGAAAATACTTGGTACCTTCCTCCAAGCCCAAAGATTTAAAAGTATGTCATTTCCTGAATCAACTCACATCAACGCTATCCACTTTATTTGAAACAATCTGACAGCATTGGGTGAAGCGACAGGAGAGAATCATGGAGACCTAACACTGCAAAACTGAGTGCCAGCTGGAAAAAAAGATAATACCAAAGCGCAGAAAACCTATTGTAACATTCTGGATTTTGTTATGATATTTCCTGCTTTAAGTACTAACCTCTTGTGTCGTTGCAGTTTGCTGTGTTTTCCAACCTTTCAATAATCACACCTGCTGCCACTTACTCACCTGTCCCTGATTACCCTTGTGTGTATATACACCCACTAGCACCTCATGTCTCTGCCAGATTGTGTTTGTTCATTTGTGTTATCTGTCTGTTTTATTCGCTTTTTTTTGGATTCCTTGTTTGTGTATTACCTTTTTGGACTGAAGTAAAGACCTTAACCTTAATCTGCCTCCTGTGTGTCCTCGGCATTTAGGTCTGAGTTTTCACCTATGTTACACCTATGTGGTGGTCATTAAAATCAAACTGCAGTATGCAAATTGAGTGGATCAAAAATTAGAGACAGAGATGGAACAACTTCCCTCTTCATTCAACATTTAGAGTTACACAAAGAACGGTGCCGTAGCATTGTTCCAACCTCTCATTACTCCGACGTCCCGTTGTTCCGATATGTGATTATACTAGGCTATACTGTATTTATGTACCATAGAAGATCAGCAACACAACAAAAGTAGGCTACTGGTCGAGATACAAGTGTCATAGAGAGGAGAGAATGAAACACCATAACCTCCTGTTATTAACTCTGGGGTCCAGGTTGTGTGGGGAGCTCTCCGCAGTGCTGAACGGCTCCCGGCGGGCGTATTTCTGCCTTGATGGCGCACTGCAATCGGCTCTGGGTCAGCTGGGAAAGGCTTGAGGCGAAGCAGGCTCACGGCTTATGTGTTTGTCACTTTCTTTTTCATTTTAACCCACATCATGATCTTTTCCTGACCCTAACCAAGTGATTTTTGTGCCTAAACCTAACCAGACCT